ATATTATATTATTTTGAAATTTTTATTTTGTACTTTTATTGCTTACTAGTTCGTAGTACTTACTTTTTTATTGCAACTTGAACGGTTCTCCTCATCCTAAGCATTTCATTGTATTGTTGACTTTGTGTTAACTTTGTGTTAACTAAACCAATCACAATTTAGAAATCTAGCAATAAAGTGTGTAAATTAAAACAAAAAGCTGAGTAATGTTAGTATTTTGTGTCGGCTTGTATAGTGTCACCCATTTCAAGTTTTGCATTTGTTTCTAGATTTTTACTAAAATACCTCAATCCACAGTCCTTTCAATAGTTAAGAACCTTTTTGGATTATTTAAACTTTTTATCATTATTTATGTTAACATGTTGTCATCTTTTCATTCGCTTTAAGGTTTGGTTTCAAAACCGTCGAGCCAAGATGAGGCGGCAGCTGAAACTTCAGGGTCAGCTCGCCCGGCCTCACGCGWCAACAGACAACAATGACATTTATGACAAAAGGAACAAACAGACAGAAAGTTCTGACGGCGAGGCCTGGGAGAGGCAACAGGAAGGAGAGAACTACCCCTGGACAAAAGCTCCAGCTTCTCTGCTGAGCGTGCAGAAGCAGCCCCTGACCCTGAGTTTGGGGAAGTGGGAGAGGCCGGAGGGGCTGAGCTCGGAGCAGCTTCGCTCCTGCAGCATCGCCAAACTGAGGGCCAAAGCCAGAGAGCACGAGGCTGAGCTCCACTGCACTGTTAATGTGACAGCCTCCAACTTCCAGCCACAAACACAGGAAACCGATGCCAAGCTCAGTGACTGATCATATCCCATCTTCCTGTTTGGACAAAAGAAAATAGACATCACAGTCTGCAGGATTTGTTGGAACTTTTGGAGACAAGTTTTATCATTTAGCCTTTATTGACAGGATATGTTTGTGTATTCTGCATATATTATTTTTTACATTTCAGATTAATTATCATTTCGGATGAAAGTATTTTTAAATCACATACAAATTTTTATTTTAAAATAAACTTTTAAAGCTCACTGTAAAAAAAAAAATCCTGAAAGAGACTGAATATGAGTTATTTGAACAACTGAAATATGTGGAGCAACATTAGTTGTGACGAATAGCATTGTTTCTCCAACCTTTATTAGAAAACAAAAAAAGTCTGAACTAAAAACGGTAATTCTGTTTTAATTGTTGCTATAGGAACAATAAATTTTTAGCTTCCTTTAAGGTGGAATGTTTCCCAGAGAGTCCTTATTTCTACACCCTAATAATTAAGAAAAAAAGGTAATAAAAACACTTTTTACAAATATAACGGCCACGTCGAACAAAATATTAACTAAACTGTTGTTGGTGTGTTTTTAATTATTATTTAACAGGTAAATTTAGTGAGACCATTATTCTTGGTGGATTTTTATGACTAAAAATGAAGGTTAGACTTGAAGTCTGTTAGAGTTATTCGCATTTACTAAACTCAAGGTCCGCGGGCCAAATGTGGCCCACCACAGTATTTTATGTGGCCTGAGAGAGTTTTTTTTAAATACGCATTTGCTGCCTTAAAGCCATCCTTGACCATAAACCACATCTCCCATAATGCATGTTGATTATATTACCTGCAAAATGACAACATCCCAGAAGGTTGGAGGTGCACAGGGTTCAAAAGTAGCCGGTAGCTACTTACCACAACTCACCAGTGAGTAAAACTCTCTTATTACTTTTACTTTTAATAGCTTTTCTGTAGTATTTCACATTTAGACAGTCATACACTTCTCAGTGTTTATAAAAAGACATGTTAAAAATGCTGTTTCTATGCATAAAATACCACTTAGAGCTCAGTTGTTTCATGTTTAATCAAAGTTAAACAAGAAATTTCGAAGTTAACTGGCCCTTTTAAGGACCACCGTAATGCTCATGTGCCCCWCAGTGAAAATGAGTTTGACAAACCTGCTTCAAATTAAACTATTTCACCATTTCATCTTTTTTATGTGTAAACAACTTGTTAAGGTCTGACCATCTCATATCTTATATTGAAGGCTTCTTGTGTCTGAATACAGTTTTCAGGCAGCACATCTTAAATGGGATTGACGGCGTCCACCTCGCTGACTGAACAGTGACTGCTCCACACTGGGACTTCATCAGATAATGACGACATGACAGATGTTGACATCAGGGCACAGCTYAAAAGGGGATACAGTAAAGTAATTTGTCAACGAGCTCACTGATGACACCCCCGACCTTTTGGGTTACAGCCGCACAGAAGCAGGATGTCTGCATGCGGCCACATGTCGGCACAGGAAACAACGGGAATAGCTGAAAAATGAAATCATGCTCAGTGACTCTACTGTAGATTGTGTGAAAATGGTTCATACTTTTTTTTTTGTGGAGCACAAAGCATAAAAAGGGGTTTAAATCCAAAGGGATGACATGACGTGTACAAAATAAACCAGTTATTAAACTTTGCATTCTTTAAATTGTGTTGATGATTATTTTTGCAGAGTTTTGTTTAACTCTTTCCACTTGTTCATGAGATATTTTGCTAACACACGAACAAAGACAAATACATTATTTTCCTTCTTTTGCTTTTTACCGTCAGGCAYTAATATTGGGAATAACAGTAAATAATAATGAAATCCCCAGTCAGAGCAGCTGTAGTTCATGAGTGTTTGGGGTCGTTTTAGGCTGATTTAATTCAAACACACATATTAKTAATTGTGCTAAAGTACCACTGTCTMACTTCTRKGTAATTAYTAARTAWATATTTTGATTAWTGTTCACATCTTGTCKAAAAAAAAAGTTTCTCCAGTCCAARTGTCCCAGCAGAGCAGTGTGACACTGCCCTCTTCTGGGTATGAAGACGTCCCCGTGGACAGACCGTTAGATGTGCAGGATCTGCATTTTTCTTTAAACAAACTTAAAAAAAAAAAAAAAAAACACTTGTCCAACTCTTTTTTTTTTAAGACTATCGAACGGTTCTGCTTCCATCAACTGAACTTAAACAATAAATAATTGAACAGTGCTGTGACCCGGTTTAATGAACGAGGTCAGTGTGGGTTGTTTACATTTCAAAGACTCAATTTCAGCTCCGGCCTCTCACTAATTACACTCTCTGTGTCAGAGACATGAACTCCAACTGATGAGGTCAGTGGGTTAAATTTTTTATGGGAATACTCCTCAAAACAAGTCGCACAATGAACTATTTTGTTTTCTAATGGACTTCGCAATCCTTTTTTTAAATATAGGCTACAATTCTTTATATTCGTTATAAAGACTTGACATGTTACCAGACAGTAATGTTTTTTTTTCTCAGCATTTTTCCTGAAACAGAGCTATGGCTGGCCTCAATTAGTCCCTGCGTCAGCAAAACAATATGCATGTCATAATAAATTATGCTTTATACTTGCAAAAATCCTGTAAAGTATGTCTGATGAATAAAAACGACGGATCACTCTACAACATTAGGCCTGCCACATACAGTGGTCTAATAATGAACCAAATGTATTTATCTGCAAAACTGTTAACAACCAATCAGATTCAAATGTTTCTACAACAGTTTACAGTGCAATGTGTTCAGGGGTGTGTCTAGGCATTTTTCTAATAAGTGGCCAGGCAGGCATGATTGTTAATCTTGAGATGTTAGCACCATTCTCACAAAATATTTTATTAAAAAATTAGGTTAGATCTAACAGTTAATGCTAATCTTAAAGCAAAAGTTTCCCACACTGAATGGTGCTCCAGTGATTCTCAGCACAATAAGTCTTAACAACATATCTGTGAAACTGATTAAATTCTAACAGTTTTTGTGTTTTCTAAACTCAGTCGGCTGAAGAGTCCATCTTAATTTGAGTTAACTCCAAAAGTTAATTAGCTGAAAAGGTAAGGTATAACCAGTGCTTACTTTTCAGGAGCTTCATTTAAATCTGTCTTGTGGTTCGTGAGATATTTTGCTAATAGACATATTATGCACATAAAACTTTCAAGTAAATCCCTAAAATCAGCTGTGTGAGAGTTTGATGGTTAATGTTGGACCAACTCCATTTAAAGTGGTAGGTAAATGAATGAAAGTGTCCAGCAGTACATGAATGATGATTACCAAAAACAACTCTTTTAGTCCACTCTTTGGGACCAGTTTTAATCAACTGTTGTAAATGACAAATTAGCAGTCTGTGCCAATTAGTGTAATGAGCTGGGACATACACACACACCCACCCACACACACACACACACACACACACACACACACCCACACACACAGACCAGCTGGGGGTGTCTCGTCACTCACAATCAGGTGAAGAGGAGGAAACAGGACGCAGCTGCAGCTCTGTAGTTCAGGGACAAATCTTCACAGCGGATACTTTGTTGCTACGTGTTCCTCCTTCCTCTGACTCCTGGATCTGCCTGTTGAACACTTTGGTTTCCCCCCACTCTGAGTGGGTTTTTTTGTTGTCACACATGGCTGCCATCAAGGCTCTGGAGCTGTGGTGTAAAGCTCAGTGTGACGGTTACAGAGATGTGGCCATCAGCAACATGACGACCTCTTTCAGGAATGGACTGGCTTTTTGTGCGCTTATTCACAAATACAGACCAGATCTCATGTAAGTCTTTGTCGATTTAGTTTGATTGAGCAGCCTGTCTGTCTTGAGACACTTCTGTATGTTTTTATAAATATATGCTTATGTTTAAAGTTTAAATTAGGAGTCTTATTTATTTAACAAAGAAACACATTTAGTAAAATTAAAGGAATGAATGCCACAATTTAAAATAGAAAAATGATAGTTGTTGCCTTGATATTGCGAATGACTCCCAAGTTTTAACTAATTTTATTTTTGTAATGTTGACTTAACGTTATTGACTATCATTTGTAATTGGATTCACTCCCAAAGTTCATTTACATCCAATGATTATGTTGAGGTTGTTTTGTTTTCATCCTGTGGTTCATGTGATATTTTGCTAACAGTCTGTGCAAACTGGTAAGGCTTGGAGTATCAGCTATTGTTCCACCAAATTTTAGATTAATATCTGTAAAACTGACATTTTTGTGTGGCCATCTTGAATTTGGTTGACTCTAATTCGTAAAATGTTTGTGTCTCCAAGGATTGCTTTTTTTTTTTCAAGCTTCAGTAACATTTCTCCAAAAATAGAATTGTCTGACAACAAAACTACATTTTTATCTGTTTTTTAATGTGACCTGTGCGTTTCAAATCTTCCCATATTGGGTTTTCCATGCTTTTACTCTGCTTGTTTGTAATGTGTGTGTTTTCCCATGTAGAGACTATGACTCACTCAGAAAGGAGGATGTGTTTGAGAACAACAGGCTGGTAAGATGTCAAGTTGTTTTAACCTTTTAGCTTACAGAAAGGAACAGACTCGGGCTGCTTAATTTGGATTTATCTCTAAACACTCAAATCATTAACCCTACATGATTTGCAGATTGATTTTAATGCACCTACTATAATGATTCCAACATTTCTCGTTTTATTCACTATATTCTCATTTCAGACTGTGCTAAAGCCATAAAACTTTTCTTTTGTTCAAGCTAACTCATTTATTTAGCTAACTCCTCTATTATTTAGTCCTGTACCAATATGCCCACTTCCTCCTGGAGCTTGGGGCCCCTGCAGAGGGCTTCCTTGTCCTGGATGATCCTGTCGGCTACAAACCTGATCTCAGAGGAGCGGCTCTCAAACCTATTCATTTTGAATGAAGCCTGCTGTCATTTGCTATTCGATCCACATCCTGGTGGTTCACACACACACGACATGCACGTCTTCAACATAACAGATTTGGACCACAAGTGTAGCGGGTTTGATCGGGTTTTGCTGCAGCTAAATGGCCCCTCAGCTGAAATCTGAGAATGGGGCAATTCACACTGTTCTATATTTTATGGATAGTGTCTTGTTTCTTACAGGTAGCTACATATCCTGAGTTGAAAACTTGCTTTTGTTGCATGGTAAAACCAGTTTTTCTAGCAGTAAAACGTTTTTTTTAATTAACCAAACTGACCTACAATACAAGATACAAAGTCAATTTAAAGGGCCAATATTATGTGTTTCTCAGGCACATATTTAAATACTATACCATAATAAAGTATCTGTCACCTTTAGTTATTATTAAAACACTGTTTTTATGTTTAAATAGAAAATAAACTTATCTTCTCATCACGTCCTCTTCTAAATGCCTTGAAATTGGCCTCTGTCTCTTTAAGAACCTCCTTCGCTTCTGTCTCGCCCATTTCAGTGTGGGGGGGTGGGGGTTGCGCTCGCAGGGGGAGAGTGCGGATTGCCATGATGCAGTTTACTTGGCATCTGAAAATACATTTCCTCAAAGGTATTTATAATCTGAAAAGAGCTTCACTGAGTGAGAACTAGTGTTGAGAGCTCAGCAGACAGTTAGGTTTCACTTTCACTTTCACCCGAGAGCCTGCAGAGCAGGATGATCTGGGGGGGGTGGGGTGGTGTGCTCCGTGATGAGGAAGTTCGGCTTAAAGACACGTCCCAGGGGAGTTTCTGGTCCCAAAAGCCATTTCTGGTCCCCACCTGTCGTTTTGCTCCTCAGCATGGCTTCATAAAAATGCTGCAGGATTTCTCAAACATGCATGAATGAGTCAYAGCAAGGCTTTGGGCATGTTTTTATGAGAGTATAACCTTATAACATGATATAAAACTCAAAGTTGATTTTACATGATATTGCCCCTTTTAAAGAAAATTGTCATTATTTTCACACTCGTTTTGTCATCTACAGCTGCAGGATACATTTAATTCAAATTCAAAAATACTTTATTGATCCTAAAGGGAAATTACAGATCAAACTTGTGAAATTATCTTAAGGCTTTTCAGATCGCAGAGGAGAAGTTGGGCATTCCAGCTTTACTGGATGCAGAAGACATGGTGGCTTTAAGGATCCCTGACAGGCTGAGCATTCTGACCTACGTGTCCCAGTACTACAACTACTTCAAGGGACGGCCTCCAAGTGAGTTTATGCCTCCGAAAGAGTCACTTTTTGTCATCCTATCCTTTGCAGTAATGGCTGGTTTTGTCCACAGTGGGAGGTGTAAAAAGGCCAGCAGAGGGCTCCAAGGAGGAGCCATCAGAGAAGAAAAARCACCCAGTGGTTGCCAAAATCTTTGAGCCTAAAAAAGCCACGGAGAAGTGTTCATCGTCCGTTCACTCAGCTCGTCCCTCATCAAACGCTGAAAGACCTGCTGCTCAGGTCAGTTCTCACGTGAGCACTATGGTCTGGTCACTTTTGAAGTGACGTTCTGCTATCAGTGCTTTATCAGCGGTGGCATACAGCACAGAGTATGAAGAAAAACAAGCCGAAATCTCCATTCAGGCTAGAAAAACAGGCACCCGTTTATTGTTTTTCAGGCCTGTTGACCTTAAAGCWTCAATGCTGATGCGCTAATAAGGCATTAATTCATGGGGCTCAAAGAGTACAATAAAATGTGGTACCACTTTATAAGGCTCTACTTATAGATGGCTTGTAAATAGTTTATAGATAGGTTAGTAATTCATCTGTAACCATTTTATAAATCATTAATAAGTGTTTATTATGCARTAAATAAGAATAAGAAACAGACAAAACTGTTTTTTCTTGCTAAATAGTGAGTCAAATCTGTTCATGTACATACAAAGTGTAATATTAAAAATTTCACACTTGTAAGTACAATAATGTATTAGATACACATATTTACAGTAGGTAAACTATTTATTAATGATAAATGTGTATAAATGTCATAAAAGGGCCTTATAAATAGTGTACACTTTACAATYAGGCTACTTTTGATAGTCGTGGATATGTATAATACAGTGCAATAGTATATGTAAAATGTGTTTCCAATACATTATTGTYTTTACAAGGTAGTAACCTAGGCTGAAATGTTTAATATAGCACTTTAGATGTAATATGTACCTAACAGATTTGGCTCACTATTTGATCAAAAACCGGACAGGTTTGTCTTTCTTGTCCTTAATTAATGCATAATAAACATTTAATAATGATGTATAAAGTGTTTACAGATGAATTAATAACCTATTTATAAGCCATCTATAAGTGGAGCCTTATTGTAAAGTGGTACCTATGTTAAAACTTATCACCAACACTTTTCCATTATTTAGCTCACGGGAGTGTAAAATCCTGGTTAAAAAATTCCCACTAACATTTTATTTTGGCTAATTTTTTACTAAATGTTAAATTTAAAATGTTAAAGAATATAGCCCCTGTAAATATTATATCCTAAACCTAAATGTAAAAAAGTAAATCTTAAATGTTGCAGCTAAATGATAAAGCTTACGTTTAAGAATTTAGGAGCACAGCTTTGATGCTGGTGTGCGGCTTTTGATGCGATGCCGTCGTTCTGCGCCAAACAGCCGCTAAAACCTGGTTAAGCTGCTCAAGACGGCATTTAAAATTTAAAATTTAAAATGTGTTCATTGAAATATGGATGGTACATGTGGTGCGGCAGTTTAAAATGCAACTCAGACACTGACAACTGCAAGTTTGATGTCTCGTAGGGAAGCGTTAGCAACGTTAGCAGGGTTAGCATTCGCTTTTTCTCCCAGGATGATGTCCTAACAAGAACTGCGCAGCAACAGCAAAGGCTGTGTTCCATTTTAAACTACTTTAAATGTAAACTTCAACATTTAAGATTTAACTTTAACATTTAGACATAGCATTTAGTAAACATTAGCTAAACGTATAAACGGTGAGCTAAAAAACAATGAAAATGTGTCGGTGACAATTTTTTAACATTTTATTTTTACAGTTGATGCCCCACTAATTTGATAGAACATAACTTCAAAAATGACTAGATTATTCCTCTTTAACAAAGTGTAATAAAAAATGTTTAATATTGAGGAAAATGTGACTTATTTGTTTCACAGAAGGTGGTTTTGACCGACAATGCGAACAAAGGAGGGACTCTGAACAGCAAATGTGTTGCATGTAAGACTCACGTCCATCTGGTTCAGAGGCACTTTGTGGAAGGAAAGCTTTATCACAGAAGCTGCTTCAAGTAAGACTTCTTTTTTTAAAAAAACACGAGGTTTGTTTTATTAGTCAATGGTTAATTTGAACTTCCATCAGGTGCAACGAGTGCTCCAGCGTACTTCATGCAGGAGGCTACAAACCTGGGAAGAACCCAGACACGTTTGTCTGCAACTCCCACCAGAACGGTTCCAAAACGTTCTTCTTGGATGCGGAAATCAAAAGTGGAGTTGCTAATTCGGTTGTACAACCAAACGGTGCCACCCAGAAACTGCAGGCGCCACGTTTCTCTTCAGTGCTGTCAGCCCCAGCAGATACAGTTCTGAAGCCCTTAAATCCCAACCCACAGTCCCAGTCCTGGACGGCCTCGGCTCAGAAGACGCAGGCGGCGCGGCAGAAGTTTTTCCAGGCTGCCCCACAAGTTACTGAAGCCTCAGCGGGAATCAGAAAACCTGTAGACCAGGTAAAAAGTCTGAAGGTCCCTTTGGGTTCTGATGAGAGAAACTCTGCCAGATTGTTGATTGGGAGGAAACTAGCAGAGGAAAACTGCAACAACAACAATGGACACCTGTTTACCATCCGAACTGCGGAGAGGCGGTAAGCATCGTGACATCAAATCTCACGATTCTAATCATGTATACATCATAGAAAGTTTGACAGTGACGACTCTTTGTTCAGGTTTTTGGCTGACCCAGTTTCAGCTGACTTCCTCAGTTTGAAGAAGGATAAATGCAGCCAAGACCCGGCAGGAAGCTGTGAAGGACCGAGCTGCAGCATCCAGACAAACAAGAAATCACAATGTCCGGCCATCAACAACGACAACACCGGGCTAACAACAGAACACACAACTGCCAAAGGTAAACTGTACTGAATTGTTTCAGCTTGTTGGTGATCCACTGTTTGACACGTAGCCAGCCCCACTTCTTCCCCTGACCCTATTCTTCCTGTCTGCCTCATGCATTCAGAAAGAAAGGAAACAAAGATCCTTTTGTCCTTTTTGTCCCATTTATTCAGCCAGTGTGTTTGGCGTGCCGTTCGCTGACGTTTTAATTTCTGCCTCCACCTAATGACCATTTCTAGTGCTGTCATTCTTCCAAGACAGATGAATGTGAATAACTGTCGGGGGGGTTGACGACAGACAAGCAATTACTGGTGGTTTTCATTGTGAATGATATCAAAGCAGTTTTTATTTTTTGCACCGACGAGCCTGAAATTAACTCCTGCTTACTAATACGTACATGTCACAGGATGTAGAACAATGTTCTCATCTCTGAAACAGACTAAGTTGCTTATGTAGTTTTTATATGTAATAAAATATTGAAAGAATTTAACAAAATAAGCATAAAACTCCTAATAGCATAACTTAGACAATAGATTATTTTAAGGTATATTTATTAGTTGCAATTTTTAGCTTGTAACCTGGTTCTCCYTCTTGACCAGATCTCTCTTGAAAGAGATGTTTGCTTATGTAGTTTTTATATGTAATAAAATATT